TCTGTTTCAAACAGTATTGGCGGAACTGATTTCCTACACTATTAGATCTTATTTTTCATTGTGTTATTTATTGATTTTAAATTATTAAATTAAAATTTAAATAAATATTTTCGATGTTTATGAATGTGTAACAATTGTTAGATTATAATAATGAGGCAATATATACTTACTAAAATCATTTGTCAATTAGAACAACAGCCCTGTTTGTTTGGTACTAATTAAATTTAATAATTTAATAATAATTAGACATAGTGTATATTTCATTAGTTTCAAATATCTGTTTGTAAATTAAAAAAAAAAAAGATCATATTTATTGCGCAAACATCATCAAATTATAAACTCAATACAATAATATAATAACAAAAATAAAATAAAACTGCTGCAAAGGGCTATTGACCATAGGTATTTCTGCCATTTTTAAATAAATTAAAAATGTTTCAATAAATAATAAAAAATCAATAAAAAAATCAAACTTTAATTATTTTAGAGTTTGAAGGAAATTAAATATTATATTGATTATATTTAGATGTAAAATGATAATACAGTAAGACCTCATTTAGCGCTTTAGATGCGTTCCTGAAGACAGATTACTGAACCAAACAACATTAAAAGAGGTTTTAACATATAGAAAATAGAAAAACGGGAACAAGCGACAAATAAATAAACAAATTTTACTATAATTTGCATTATAATATATGTTTTATGTAATACAAACATTTGCACACAGAAATATTAAGTTTATTTTTGTGATGTCTATCTCTTCTGATATTTTTTACTTTCCGATAAAATCGTCTAGAAATTTGTCGTATTTTGTCACAAATGTTGGTAGCAGGCGATCGCACCCAATACTCTTCTTGCTTTTGCACTTCTGGCAATTTGGATCATTCGCTACAATTTGATCAACGATTTCGGTTATCATTTCTAAAATTTTTCTAAGAAAATCTGTACCAAGTTATTTTGGTTGATCGCCTTCAGAAACAGTATTTTCGCATTCTTCAATTTCTTGTTCTGCCAGTTCTTGAAGGTCGTCATTGGCTCTCACCAGAAACACTCAAACAAGCATAGATTCTGGGGAAGCAGCGCTACGCGTTTGGGAATAATCGTATTATATTTGAATCAATGCCGCCATAATTTGAATCCGGATTTTGAGCTTTTTTAAGGTTTATAGTAAATTAGCGTTAATCGAGGCAGCGCTAAGCGAGTTCTTACTGTATTTTGGATTTTCGTTTTTGATCTGTGTCGGTTGTTTTTCATGGATGTTATCCTCGTATTATTATTTTTTTTTCTTTGTTGAGATCACACTCAGAGTTTGGTTGGAATTTTAAATGCGGAAGCATAAGCAAGTTCCTCTCATTTATCACCCAACTTCCGGTTTATGCCGCCGCCCTCATTCCCATCCTCTTCTTCTCTTCTCTCTGCGGAAATTCGTTGGTGTGCTCACTTTATATTTATTTGGAAGATTTCTTTGGAACTACTTTCACGCGGACTGGCAGCAGGAGGCAGGCCTCGATCCTCGTAGCTCGCGCTGTCCTTATTTATCGTTCTCTCTTAAGAAAATAGAATCCTGCGCAAAAAAAACGAATAGAACAGAATAGACAGATGTTGAAGAGTCTGCGAAATAAAGGTGATCGCTTAGAAGAAAATAATTGGTCTTAAGTTCACCATCGAAACATTTCGACAATTAACGAAATTAATAATTAAATTTTATCGAGAAAGCCACAGGAGACGGACGCTCGTTAATGAGAGCTTGTGAAATTCCACCCGTTATTATTTATCATTAACTAAAGTATCATTAAATTCAGAACGATTTTATGCGAAACGTAATTAAAATAATTGCCACGGGAATATAGCACATAGACACACACATGTACACGCAATCATTGTTGTTGCTGCTGCTGTTGCTGTTGCCGTTGTTCCCGCATCCGAGGTTTCCTTTAATGAATATTTGTCCAATTAAATCATAACATAAATTACAAGCTAATCTGGTTGTATTAAGCCATAATTAATTTATTATTATTTACTAATACGTTCGATGCTGCTCGCAAAATCTGCGAAACATAACCAAATGGTGTAGTAGATGAATACATGAAGAACAATAACGCATTTAAAAAAGGAAAACTTTTTTAACTTCATTTTTAATATATTTGCATTCAATATTGGAGATGCTAATGCTAATGCTAATTTATCCTTTACGTGGATTTGTGGATCGTTCAACTTCGCTGTTTGCAGAGTGGAAACTATTCTCTCTCAGAAACAAATTTAAACTTATTCCATCAATAAAAAGTAAACAAAAGCGACTGGGACAGATGACACTATTTGGATAAAATATTGCGGAAATAATATGAAAAAATAAATATAAATATAGGTACAGTTTTGTAAACAGTTTGATTTATATCATTGTTAGCTGAATTATAAACTTCTCCTATCCCGGAAAGTAATTTTATGAAATACCTAATACTTTAAACTATTATGTAACACATAAGGTACCAAAGTTTAAAATTCATGAAAATAAATAGTTTTAATATGTTAGGAAACAAAGATTTAAGTTGTAAGTAATCTGATTAAAATATTCATAATGCTTAATTTATGCTAAGTTGATGAAGAAATATATTGTGTTTATTGAGATTATACTTTAAGAAGAAAGATTTTTAGCGAATATCGAAGGATGATGAAAAATAGATAATTTAGAGTAACTTCTAAAATGGCTCCGAAGAAAGCGATATGAAGCACTTCCAAAGCCGATCTTTATCCGTAGAAAGTCATTTTCTGTGTCTGGTGGGATTGGCAGGAAATTCCATATTATGAGCAGTTAGGAAATAACCAGAAAGTAAATTCACGTATCTACTGTTGCTGACTGTATAAATTTTAAGCAGAATCGCTTATTTTTACATACAAACAAAATAAATGTATCAATTATTAGATTATTTACTACGATTCCAGTCATACCTTAAGAAATAAGAGGCATTCCACTAAATTTCTTCGTTAAGCGAAACTTCGTTTAAAAAGGGAAAGATGCTATGGCGAGAATGAAAATACGTTCTTTTACAAACAAAATGAAAAGCTTTGAAAACAAGGAAAGTTTCTCTTTCAATTGCCTAAACTGAGTTATTGCATTTAACACTGATTGCTTATCAATAAATGTTCTTCGTAAATCACGATAATTTTCACCATAAAATTAAAACTAGTACTTTAACTTTGTCTTCATTTTATTTGTAATCGTTACTAAAAAGCTTTTCAATTTTTTTTCTGAAAATCCATGTAACACGTCTGCGTGACGATCGTGCACTAATACTAGCAACAAAAAAATCTCCAACTTCCTGCTGGACTTTAGGTCCTTGACGTGGGAAGGTTCTGGGTTCTGGGCGCCACTTCCTTTTGCGGAGACGAAGAACACCTTACTTTCTGCTTTTCTCATAGCACTACGTTTCTTATGCTCTCCTCATAGCATCTCGTTTCTTCTCATTTCTCTCTGAGGCAACAACCGTCTTTCTTCACGGTTGGCTTTCAACTCTACCGGAACTCACATTGTATGGAGGAGCGTAGTTTTTATATTTAATGAACTTTGCAACGTTACAACCATCATTTTGTACATTCGATAAGTTTCTAATATAATAACGTTTTTCATGGTTAATTAATGAGTCACAATTGTTAGACAGTAACAATAAGGTTATAGATAAAATAAAGCCGTATACCAATTAGGAACAAAGGGCTGTTGACCTAATTATAGTACAATAATCCTATTTGTTGGTGAATATAATGTTCAATCACTTCTCCAGGCAGACTGAATATTCATTTTTTTTTAAATAAATATATATAAAATTTACGTATATTGATGAGTACTACTAATCCTTTGGGTAGCAACGTTCTTTAATTATATGGGCACACTACAGACAAATTTATGTAATTCTAAAACGATTTCGTAATGAAATGAGTCTTAATACAATACATATTAAGAAATTGTTTAAAGCTGAAAATCCTGATTATTGGATCTAAATCATAATATATAATGAATATAATACTAATATTATGAAATTGTTTTACAATATACTTTTGAATGTTAATATTGTTAAGTGTTTCGAAAAACAAAGAATTATTTGATAATGTAAGTGCATTGGCTACGCATTGAGCAGGTTGTTTACATAATAAAATATTAATAACGTTCGGTTCTTACATTAAAGAAACACTCGATATTCACTTTACTGTTCTGAATTAATAAGAGACAACTAAATATATTATTTATTACTTGAAAAGAGCATTTTCAGGCAACAAATACTTCTATATTAAATACAGCACAATAGTATTACATATTTATGTTATTATTATATTAGATTGAGTTTTTAGGAATACAAACTTAATTAATTTTTGATATGATTTTCTAAATGCAGTTTGCAACGTATTTTTTGAAAAAAAGTTAATAAATTTGCATTATTAATTTTTAAAAGCAGTTTCAAATAATAAATCATAATTAAATTTACTATTCATACATTCTTCTTAATAATTTAATAAACAATTGTTAATATCAATAGTAAAGGCTCCAAAAAATGACTTTTGGTTGTTGCCCAATTAATTAATAAACCTAAATAATTTAATTTAACGTAAAATTGGACTAGATTTTTTTATATTACAAATACAATTTGAAGGTTTTTGTATATTTGCGAATTACACTTCCATTTTGTATTTGCTATACAAACTGAATCACTTTGTTCTGTGTGATGTATTCTTTTAGGTCATCCAAATGGATGTTCGCTTAACGAGAAAGCCAAATTACAGAGAAACCTAGTTTCACTCTGTGTGGGTGTGCCTCGAGTAGATTGAATAAATCTGTACAGTAACCGCAATCCTTAGTTATTATACAGCTCAAAATAGATAATATGCAAAACATGAATTGAATATACCCTTGCTTTCTATTTTGTTAATTTTGTATATTATTGTTAATTCGATGATCCGCATAAAATAGCTTTCATGCTTGTATATTAATTTAATTTTTGTTTTTTTTTTGCAGATTGTGTCATTCATCGATTATATAATAAGCTTATAATCCTAGCTTTATTTTGGTGAGTCATACATATATAATATATAATATATAATTTAATATTTTATTTTTAATGGATTTAATCGCTATTAAATTGTTAATGGTATAATCTGCTACTTAATATAAAGTTTTAGGTAATGATATTAACTATTATTGATTATAGTTATATAATTTAGAAGTAATAATATTAAATCAACTATTACAATGGTGCTTTAATTAAATTTGTTTGCAATATATATAACAATTTGTTTTTGTCGTACACATTGATATATTCTATCTTGAGTTGAAACTTTATGAGAGGTTTCAGGAAATGATTTTATAATTTATTTTTAACTTATGTTGATGATATTTACATTTACAAGTAAATTAGGCGTAAACTATTGAAATTGTGCTGTATTCAATCTAAGATTTTCTTAAGATATTACATATATATTACATAAGTTTTTTATTTGTTTTGTACGTGCTGAAATAAGCTAAAACTTAGTTCGTTAGTTTGTGCGCTGGCCAATCTAAACACTATGAGAATAGTTATTTTATATGTGGTGAATCTAAGTGTGTTGTTGGAAGATTGGACGAAATTTTCATTCTGTCAGTGTGTATGAGAAGAGGGGGTAAGTTATAGAAGTTATCTTTGTGAGTGGAAAATGTTTATTTTTGTATTATACGTGAAAATGTATTGCGATCCATTAGTCCGGAGTCAAGAGTGTTGTTGGAGGGAAGGCCTTTTCCACCCCAGCGAAAGTCTGGACGGTCATATAAAAGCTCGGACCTAACATAAATCGCCGGAGCTAAATAAAAACAAAAGGCTCTCCACAATAATAATGTTACGTCTCCCATCCGGTAAGAAAATGGCAAAGAGCGGCGGGAATGGATCCCTCAGACTTGGCCCGGAAAAGGCATTTGTTTGGAAATTTAATAACAAGGCATCTTTCAAAAACTGGAAGACTCTTGCAGCCCGATCCATGTAGGTTGTGTGCTATGTTGTGTCTTCTGGTAGCGCATGAACTTGGATTCCCCTGGCGGTTGGCTTGAAATAAAGCTTATTTATAAAAATGGGGAAACCGGTACGATTGTAAATATTGTTTCCATTATGGGAGGGAATTGGAACGCATCGCATTGCCGCTTTATGTAAACGCATGTTATCATGTTCTGTCGGAGATTCAAGTTTGATTGCCAATCCCATATATATATATACATATGCCCATTCAAAAAATCATCCCCCTTGCGTATTGTAGCAATGCAATACAAAATCATACCAACTAAATATCATTGCGTTAGATATACGTATCCAATATGTATGTGATATATTGCATTTACTAATTATTATGTAATAAATATAATCAAACAATCAGCACATTTATTCATTATTCAGAATTAAGTTTTAATTGAGCCTAAATAACTTTTATATCTCAGCAATACTTCCCATATTGCGGTTTCGATCTGTCCGGATTTACTATAACAGTATAATATTTTTTGTATCTGACATAATACGGTTTTAAAGTATCAAAACAAACTAAATTTTAATTGAGTGGTAATAAAAATAAATACTATAAAAATTGTACACAATATTATAAACAATTAACGAAGTATTCCTGTAAATACATAAATAATAATAAAACTTACTCATATTCATTGTTTTGTCGTTAAGATTAAAGACAAATATACGGACAGAAAATTGCGGTTTCAATTTTCTTGATGATTCTTACTGTAACCTCGCTCAAAACAAATTGTTTTCCTACGTTGGACCTTTTTCGCCTGTTGCAAGGAAATTTATAACAAGCATTTTAGTATCCAGTGCCTATAGTGAAAGTTATTATCCTTTCAACTTCATTGAACAATAATTTAATTATATATATTTTAAAATTTGCGACACACCTAGGTCTGTCATACTGATTGAAAATCACTGCTTTAAGATATAGTAATTATGTTATAAAGTAACTTATGTGTAGAATTTATTTAAACATTTTTAATATTTCTTATAATAAATAATTATTATAAATTATCATATGATTATTATGAAAACATATTTTAATTTAAGTTTTTTTTCTTTTCATAATAAAATATTCAAATGCACTTCTTATTAGTATGCCGAGCGCGTCTTTGATAATTAAAAATGTAATTAGCGAATGTTGCATAATAATAAGTAGGCTGTATGGATGTTTTGGTTTCGGAGGATGCGGACGAGAAAGTTGGATATCATATTTAATATTAAATATGATTTAAATTCACTTTTGCATCAAGCTCGTTTGGGTCGGAGAACATTAAAAGCTTATAAACATCAAAACTTAATCTACCAGTAATCTGGAGCCAAGTTTTGCATGTAAATGTGGCACATGAAATGCCGCTAAAGATGTGTAACGGGATAAGAAATTATAGAGAAATATATCAGCACATACACTTAAATGCATATATACACACAAACACACAAATACTTTGAGCGAGTCTCTGTTGCGTTTCTAACTTTGAATCATATAATTGTAACACACTGTTACTAGAAAAAAATATATCAAGTGAGATATTATTATGTGTTTTTGCGGTTTCCTTTTATATGTAAATTAGAATTACATAAATGTATTTTTTTTTAATGAATCAATATAAAGTATAGTGAAAATATTTTCTCCATATACACTAATGTAATATACGATAATGCGTTTCATTTTGCGAGTAATTTTTCTTACAATTTATTTTGCTCATTAAGCGAGGTTCCACAGCACTTTTTAAATTTCTATAAGTATTTAAACATTATTTTTATTTAAGTATATTGAAGAGAAGTATTTACTAGAGTTATTCCTTCGTTAAGTAATACTTCGTTTTCAGAGGTAAATATACTAAGTCCAGAATGGGGATTCGTTTCTTCGTAATATTTTTAAATAAAGTTTTATTCAATAAACAGTCAACTTACACGCAAAGTTAAATTACATTTTAAAAGTATTAACACTAATCGATTAACAATAAAACTTCTTCTGAAATCAGGATCGTTTTTACCAAAAAATTAAAACGTTTTTATTGTCATTTAAGCACCTTTTTAAATCTTTGGTTATTAATATTTTTCTTTTATGTTAATTTCTTCGTTTAGTACAACTTCTGAAAACTGTGGAACCTCGCTTAACGAGCACCTCGTATAACGAGCATTTCGCTTAACGAAATGAATTGTAAGAAAAATGACTCGCTTAACGAACGAAGTTTCGCATAACGAGTGACGATGAGATTTGGATTGCGCGCCTGCTACAGATAATATGTGTATTTTTGAATATGTTTCACTGTACGAGTAAAAATCCGCAAATTTTGGAACGGATTAAAGTCGTTATAAAGGTTCCACTGTATATAAGTTTCACAGATAATTGTCGGTCACTGCTCTTAAAATGTAATATTTTTTAAATAAAATATAACTTGATAAATAAATCTATGCAAATAATGTTTTACAAAAACAGAGAAATAAAATCTCTTTGTTTGGTAATTTTAAATTACATTTAAATTTGCAGTAAACACGGTACATAGAGTTTCCAAATTGCAGAGCGTTTGTTTTAAAACTCTTTCTGTACCCAGTTTGTGTTAATTGGCTAAAACCCGCAAATTTTAAAGAGAACCTGGGAACATTGTAAATTAAAGTTGGAAAGCAGAGCTGCCTTTTTTAGAGATCTTTAATGTATTCAATCAAAGGCGAACGAACAAATTGAACTGAAATAGTCTTTATAATAGTCGAACTATATTTAATTATTGCATCTCTCTATTTTTATATTGAGAATTGTTGTATAATATTTTTGTAAAAATGAATATCAATATAAATGAATCGAGTTTCGTCGTTTTATAAAACAGTATTGTTCGCTTTATAAATTAATTAATTTAGCTCCAATAATTTCAAATATATACATTTTAAAATATTCATACATATAATAGCTTTTATAAAATAAGTATTTTTTTTATACATTTGGTTATATTTGCAATAAGTGAGATTCGTATTAATAAATATGTATAATGAAAATATACATCTTTTTTCAATTCTATAACCGTACAATATCAAATATAATTCGTGTACAATACTTTAGCTTGTATGTAATCATTACAATTTAAATATAAAACCAGGTGTGTTTAACATTTGTAGGTTTTATAATATTTTTGCACAAAAATGATTGTTTTCTTTTTGCTCCTCTTCGATTAGTCCGGTTTAAAAAAGCCAAGATATTGGCGGAAACGCATGCGAAATATTGCTGTATTGATAATAAGGGTATTTTTAGGGTATTTTATTACACATAATTTTATGGTAGTTGTTAATAATAAAGAAACATTCAGTAGATGTATTATCTGTAGTGTTTTGTAATGTTACATTTATAGGACTATAAACAAAGAAAGTACACGAAGCATGCATAAAGTAACAAAGAGCATCTAGCTTTTGTAACTGAAATGTATAACAAACTGCGAAACTTGTTATGGCTACAACCAATTGACCGTGATGCAAAGTTACCAGATTTATGACATTTTACCACACCCGCTGTTGAGCACTCTTGAACTAACTTTGTAGAAAATATTTCTCTAAAGTTTTATCAAAGGATTGATTAATTATTTATATAACTATTCGAAAATTAATATTGATTTTTAACACATATTTATTATAAATTATGTATTTTGTCATACATTTGTTATATTTGAAATAAATAAAAAAATATACTAAAATTTTAAAAATATTTATCATCTATTAAAAAATACTAAGAATAATTTTATATTTTTATTTAATTATCAATGTACAGAAATACCTTACATAGTCCGGATTCACAATAGTCCGGTTTGTAAATTTCAGAAAAAAAACTAAAGTTTAATTAAGTAAAATAAAAATAAATTCTAATAAAATATTACAGTAAATTAGTATTTGTATACTTATTCTACTGAAATTGTCCGGTTTTAAACAGTTTTAAACACAATGCACGGTATTGAATTTAAGTTTGATTTTTTTTTTAGAAAATTCTAATTATCAGAAATATGAATGAATTTGTCTTTCCTGTTACTACCAATTGCGTTTATACAAAA